GGAAATGAGGAGAAATAGAGGGGGATAGTGAGGCTTAGGTGTCATAATCAACGGAATTTTCGTCCTAACAAATAGCTGAGAGAGATTAATTATAAATAGCAGATTGATTAGAGCTTCTGCTTCTCCTACCAAATACTATCAATCGTCTTAATTAATTCTTCTTCTCAGTTCCCGGACAGACTTCTCCTTCGTCTTCTTCTTCCTCCGCCAACTACTTTGCTATTTACTAAGTGAGCTTCAGAGATAGTAATGGCTGAAGGTTCTTCCAACTTCAGGTTATACTTACCATTTATATTTTACTATATACGATTCATTGTTGGATATTTACTTTTTGTAAATAACTTTAATGAATGTTAATTGTTGGCTGCAGTGTGTGCGTTGACAATGAAACATACGAGGATTCTACTCTTCTTAGGGTATTCTAGCTCTTTTTCCTCTTTTAATAATACAATAATTTAATTATAATGCTTTTCAAACAAATTATGTCTGCTTTTTATTTCTATTATTTAAGTAATTAATATGACAAAAACAAAACCGATTTAAATGCAGGTGGAAGGTGAGAATGTGCATGGTATTCTCTTACAAATAGTTCAGGCCTTGAGCGATCTTGACCTCATCATCTCCAAAGCCACCATTTCAGCCGATAGTGGTTGGTTCATGAATGTTTTCCATGTCACCGATCACCATGGCCACAAGCTTAGAGACCCAAACTTCATACGCTACATACAACGCTCTCTTGATGGAGACCAAGAAGGAAATGGATCTTACGACATCACCCAACTCAAAATCTGTCGTGACAACAAAGTCAATGTTGAACAGTACTTTGCCTCTGATTGCATCGCCCTCGAAATAAGCTGTGTTGACATCCCCGGCATTTTCTCTAAGATCACCGCCGTGCTTTTTGAACTCTCTTTCATGGTGGATACGGGTAAAGTGTGGACCCACAACGGTTGCGCCGCTTGCATCCTCTACATAAAGGACCGCGACACAGGTCGGTCCATCTCTGATCGGGCACGCTTGAGTTGCTTGCTGAAGAACATATCTACTGTGGTGAAAGCCCACCACTTACCCGATAAGTTGTGGGGGGTGCGACTACGCCATGCCGCCTACCGGATCCATACGGAGCGACGACTACATCAGTTGATGCAAGAACAGATGGACTATCAGGTGACACCGTCACCATTGCAAGCCAATGAAGATCTTTCCATGTTGGCCATTTCGGTTGTGGAGGCAAGCAAGAGGAGGTT